AAACACGCGAAGAGATGAGAATATATTGCATAGGATAAGATATTCTATAATAGAAAGTGGAGAAGAAAAGTTTATAGCTTCAGGCTATAAAATGCTGAGGAAGTCTTTCTATAGATCCATTTTATAGCTTAAAAATAATTTATTTATTTAACTTTTTTAATAGGAAATAATTTCCATAGACGCTAAATTTGAATGAAAGTACGTTATAGTATTATAGAAGTACTTATATAAAGATGATATAAAGATATAAATTCAATTACTTAATATAATTAAATGAAGACCTTTAAATTTGCTTTTGAGTAAATTAAATGTGTATTAGTTATAATAAAGGATCGTCATTTTCAAAAATTATTATTATTTTTTAGTTATGTACTTTTTAAATATAGCTTTTAGAAATCTAACAGGAGAATGAATATATCATTCTTCAATAATTAATTTCATTTAAAAGTAAAAAAAATATTAATATAGAGGTTTGATAAGATTTAGTTTTTAATTTAAAAAATATATAAAATATGTAGTACAGTATTTAATTTAATAAAAATTACAGTTTATAAAGAGAAATAATGTTTACTCGGTGATAAAACTGTTCATTCATCGATTCTACTTTTCATTTTTATTGTTTATTAATCTAGAAAACAAAATAGTTATTTTTAAATATAATTAAAATAATTTATATATAATATATATACATATTTTTACGAATTAATAAATATTTTATAGATACTTAGGCATATAGTCCTAAGCTATAACATATAACGGGCCCTTCCTCTCTACCAAGTAATGATATCAATACATGTAAAAATGTGAGTCCCTCAGCTCTAGACTTATAATGGGAGGTCCTAAGCTGCAGTTTATTTAGCTTATGTGCAAATCCGCCCTGTAGATACAGTTTTCTATACTTAAAAATATCTACAGGCAATTAAATTTAGTTCAAATAATTTTTTAAAGTTATTTTAATATATTATAGTTGTTAAAATCGATAAAATATTTTATGTATTTTATATGGCATAAAAAACACTTAATTAAATATATTTTTATTATTCGAGATTAATTTTACAAATTGTACATAATTTCAAATAAATAGATTTCGATAAAGTCTCTGTAAATGTTTTGTTTTTGTATATTGTATATAATATACATTTAAACTTCTGAACAACGGCCACTGTCCGAAATACAAGAAATGACTGTTGTTTGCAGGTTAATTTGTATGCATTGCGAATAGAAACGTACAGTACTGTACATGAAAAAATTGTTATCGTTTAGAGGTAACAGTTGTTAGGTGATGGCCGTTATTAGAGGTTCAACTGTATTTGGTTACTTAAATAATAAAATTGGAATAATTTATAAGAGTAATTTTACAATTTATAGTTTTCGAACTTAGTTAAATCCTCTTCAATTAAGTTTAAACAACGTAAGAACAAAAGTTTTTAATATAATATGAATAAGTAAATACAGGCTCCTTTCAATATGTTTTTGTGATTACAGTATATATGTATAAATAAAATGAAATAAAATATTTTTTATTAATTAACGTGATTTATTTTTAACGCTGACAATATTTATCTTTAGTGTAAGAGTTAAGAAATTGAATTCTTTAATTAAAGAATATTTTGAGAAAAATACTATTTAATTATTTAAGTGTTTTCATTAATTATGATTAATTAATTAATTACAAAGTTAATATATTTTTATATCAAGATTCGTGAAAAGTCGTCAAATACTTCATTTATTAATTCTAACGTATTATTTATTAACTCCATTGATTTACCATTTCCTCAAAAAAAAAAATTATAAAGTTAATTTTACATTTTTGAGAGTGTAAAGAAGAGTTTTATAGAAAAATGTTGAAGTTTCGTCTATTGTATGAAGCATTCTAAATATATAGATATTTTTTCTATATAATTGAAAAGATGAAAAAGAGGAGGAAGAAACGTTTTATAAACTTTGACCACTATGAAACCATTGGTTTTAACGAAAAATATTTGAAATCTTGTTTACAGAAATTTCTAAAATAAGAGACATTTCGGTCTTACATCTTCATCTGTCTCTGTTAAAAGTTATCTTTTGACAAGAAACAATTCTCTTTTGTTGGAAGGGTGGCCTCTAGAGATTCATCCCTTATTGCACTAACGTGGCATCAAAAATCACAAAACAAAATTGAAATCGACTTTGTTAAAACATTTATTTTTATTATACAATTTCTTTTTAAAAATCTGATATGCGTATGTAAGATTTACACGAATTATTATTATTACTTTAATATAAAAATCTTTAACGTAGTTTAGAAATTAATGAAATGTATTTTTTTTTTTTGGTTGCTGCTTTCTTAATAATGAGTAGAAGAGTGTAGAGATAATAGCATATAAGAATATAAAATTAAAATATGGTTATAAATGTGGCTGGAGAAAATTAATTAGTAAAGTAGTAAAGGGCAAAGTAAGTTCCAAGGTAATAATGGCTCTCTAAATGTACAACAACATTAACCAAAGTTGAAAATTTATTGCATGTATCTTGTAGATATACATATATATGTATGTATGTGCGTGTTTATGTTTGTGTACGTTTATTTGTGTGCATGCAGGGTCGTCGAGAAGGGAGCTGAGTTTTCCCCGAGCCGGAGAAACTTAGAAGCTCATAGTGGTTCCTATCCCTATATATTTGTTATTTTTACTAACAAAAATAAAATCTTTAAAACTGCTTTTTATTAATAAATAAATATTCTATTTATTTAATTTGTTAAATAAATAAATAAATAAAAGTGTTATATAATTAAAATAACAATTTTAAATTAAGAAATAATATGTTTTAGTTAAGAAAACAAATTGCTTCNATCATAATGAGTTTGCTTGAATTTCGTTTCTTCTAAGATCGCAGCAATGCGCGACGGGTAAGCTAGTCTATATATATAATTGAGATGAGTTGATAATAATAAGTGCAGAGCCCAAACAGTTACGAGTTGAAATTTGGTACACAGTTAGGGTGCGTCATGAAAATGCACACTAAGAAGGGATTTTTCGAAATTCCCTTGGGGGAGACAGGATTAAGGTTTCGACAATGGAAGTGTTAAGTAACAATGGAAGTGCTAAGAATAGAAATGTCAACAATGGAAGTGTTACATAACAATGGAATTGCTAAGAGAAAGCAACGTGCAAAACGTAGATGCGGTTTTTTCGTTTTTGCGGGAAATCGAAGATAATTTTAGACCCACCTAAAAATTCTGTAATTAGTCTAGAAACAGGGGAACCTAATTCTTGCATTCTGTGAAAACGGGTAAGGTTGACATAATGTAATAATCTTAATCTTCGCTATTGTTACTTTTTGCCCGAGCAACGCCGGGCCTATCTGCTAGTTAATATATAAACATTATATAGTTTACATTTAATGAAAGTTTTTAAAATATTGCACATTTTCAAGATTTTTTTTGTCAGCTAATGAAATCTGTTTGTTTTTAAAATATTTCACGTTGGATTTAATATTTAAATCTGGTAGTTGTGAAATTAAATCCTTTCATAAATATGAAGAAATACAATACAAAGTTCATAGTAAAGTCTTATATGTTGACTAAGAAGCAACTTGAAAATTTTTAATTTTATGTGAAGAAGTCAAAATAATATACTTAATTGATTATAAAGTTTAAGATCACCAATCTTTTATGCCTTAATTGTGATTAAATAGATTTTACCTAATTAAGAACTTTATGAACTAAAATTCTTCTAGGGGCAGAATTTTCAAGAAATAATTTGTTAAACTGTCAGTTAACAATACTTGATAACAGTTAGTTACGATTATTGAAGATACTTGAATTTAATATTATATTTATTCATTTTTATTTTAGCTTGTTCTTTTTCTGATTTTGATATTACAATAGTTATAAAATAGAGAGTAAAATTTTTCTTTAATTAAATGTTCAATAATATTATTTAGTGTTACTGTATGAATTATTAGCAATAAGCTTTGTTACATCTGATATGAAATATTTGTGAAAAATATATTTATTTTTATGAAAATTATTAGTTTTTAAAAATTTTTTTAACATTTTATTTATTATGTTAAATGGATAAAACTTTTCAATGGTAGCATCACTGCTAAGATATTCTGCTAGTATATATTAGTATTCTGCTAGATTTAAACATTTATCTTAGGATATTGTTCCAAATTTTATTTTCAGTTTTTGCAAATTATTACTATGAGAAGCATGCTTTGGAGGCCCTCATCTTGTGAAGAATTATTCCTATAGCTATGAGTCCTTTATTTTGTTTTGTTTTGCTTTTAAAGTGATAGCCTGCTACTTTAGCAGATATTAATTGTACCATACCTAGGAGAAAGTCTGATTCTTTTATTTGTGTTCTCAGAAATAAAAGTAATTTTCAATGAATGAGAGATGGAAATTTCTGAATCTTTGAGGAATTGAAGCCTAAATATTTACCTGAGTAGTTTTAATGGACAGGTGTCATGTCTCTGGCTTATTAAAAGTTATATAAATTGATTATTTATAATGTCTAACAAATGTTTCAGTTTTGTGATTATCATATATTAAATTCAATATATTTAAAATTTCAAATATTCTTCTGACAACTTTATAAAATGAAAGTCTCTTAAAATTAGATGCATTTCATTACATTGTAATTGTTCAGTTACTTCGTTTATCAAAATAAAATGTTTTGATCACAAATTATTAAAATATTTATAATTGTGTTTATGTATTTTTCATACATGCTGAAAACGTTAAAATATTTATATAATCTTTAGAATCTAAAGCTGAGACTTAGTTTGTTTCCTCAGAGATATTTGGTCAAGACATGCAATAATTTTTCTGTAGCAAACATTGAAATAGTAATAAAACTAGTCACTACCATCCGTGAATAGTTTTTTGTTTCAGTGTTAGTTATTATGAAAAAGTTTTATTATAATTTTAATATTAAAAACTAAAACATGTAGTAATTTATATATAATTGAAAAATATAGTCAGGACTATTTTAATCAATTTTTTTCTTTTGTAGGAAGGTGTCTTGGTGGATGAATTTGGATTACCAAAAATTCCTGCTTCATAATTTTGTTAGTCTGATTTAGAAAAAATGAATAAATTCTGAATTTGTGTTTTATACTTCATACAGCAAAATTTTTGTTAAATGAAGAATCGGCAACTTGGTTCAAGTTAAAGAATAGCTATTACTGAATAAGTTTTCCAAAACAAATTCTTACTTCAAATAGAATATTCTCTTGTAAAGTCTTCACAATTTATTGAAAGTAATTTTATATTATTTAAACAGATGAAATTGTCAACAAGATATTTATTTTCAATTCTTTATCATTATAACAATTATTTGTATTCTAAATTTCAACTGAAACAAAATACTAATTAATTGAAGATGTTTAATAGTTTATATCTTTATATCATAAAGCATTAATGTAAGATTAAACCTAATTTCTCATGGGAGTATAACTAATATTACTGTGTTAAAATTTTTTATTAAGCAATCTTCTAAATTATGTCTGTAGAATCTTGTACTAAATTTCAGATATTATGTTATTGAATGTTTAAAATTTTTAAGTAGACTTTTATGATTGAAGATGAATTCTTTTAATTGGAAAATTGAAACACTTAGGTATCACAGAACAAAAAAGTCTTTAATACAGAATAGGTTGTTATCTTATGGAGAATTGGATGAAGTTTACTTTGAAGTGTGTGATAATAAGAAAAAATTAATGTTTTGTGGGATTGTATTGTCAAATTATATTGATTTGTAACTGTTAAACTATTTAAGATAAGAAGTCCTGACATGAAAATGATTGCATGATTGCACTTTCATATAAAAGATTTCATCATCTCTAGTATGTAAGTTTATTACAATCAGTATAACAAAAGAGGATTAAAAAGGGTCACCTTATCACTTAATCATTTTTCTTTTAATTGGTTTATCACAAATTATTATTATTTTTTTTAATGAAAAATCATTTTATTTTTGTAAATAATTTTAAGTATTGGAGAAAATTCTGTATTGTCTTTCTTCTTTTGGTCTTCAGAATGTGATTATTTTTGAAATTCTGCTACATTATAAGTTAGACAAAAAAAAATGATGATATTAAGAATTAATATTAAAACTTTTTTTATATGCAGGTTTAATATTTTAAATGTAAATATTTTTAATTTAAAAAAAAATTTTATATTCTTTGCATGCTGTAAGTAAAATATATATTTAAAAAATTGTTATTAACAAGAAATAAGAACAGCTTGTTAAATAATATGTAATAATAAATTCAATAAAGATCAACCGTTTAAAAAACAAAAATTGAAACATTATTGAATTTAACAAAAATGTATACAGTAGAGCGTCGTTTATCCGAAAGCATTCCAGTCAGTAAATTTAAATTTTCGTTAGTGCTGTGGCGCTGCAATCTTTGGCTATGTCTTGGGCTAATCCAATATTTTTTTTGTTTGTGTATGTGTTTTAGCTGGCAGCACTGGCACTTTTGTGTGGTGTTTTTCTGAGGACTGTGTGTCATGCTGAATCGAACATTTTTGATACTATATTATCTTCTAAAGTATAATTTTTTGTTTTTATATTTTTTAAGATATTTATTTTGTTTGTAAAAATAAAAAAAAAATTTTTTAACGATACAATAGCCACGATGATTATTTTTAAAAGTTTACGTTAGGATTAACATCGACGAAAATTCAACGCGAAGCGACACACAACGGAAAAATATTTCAACACGGGATAGGTTATATTTTTTCGTACGTAATCGATTATCCGAAAAATAAGTTATCTGAACAACCCCAGTCCCCAATTGATTCGGATAAACGACGCTCTACTGTATTTGTAAAATTAAACAGTTTTTAAAAATATTTATAAAAATATTTCATACCCAAATACTTTTATAATTTATTACAAAATATTTTAATGGAATTTACAGTAGAAATAATTATTTTAAAATAGTTTTTGTTCCCGTATTTTCTTAAAGCAGTTTTATTTGAAAAATGAATTGTTTTCAGTCTTGGGCTCTCTTATCATACAAAAATGTAGTGTGCTGGTGGGTGTAAACAATACCATGTAGTGTTCAATGCTAAAGGTCTAAAACATTTCAGATGGGTTGGCGATAGTTTGTTTATTAAGAGAGAGAGAAAACCGCAATTTTAGAATGTTTTGTGGAGAAATTAATAGAACAAACATTAACATATTTTAGATAAGTTTAAAGTTTGGATCATTTCTTGTATTTTATTAAATGGAATCTGTAGATCAAATCCGGGTTTACATAATCTATATATATAACCCATTCAACGTGTCCGTCTGTCCCGTAACCGTTTGATAACGGACACTAGAGGCGCCCCTATCGTGTGTCATATTTAAAACATTCAAATTAAATTAACAATTTTAATTATTATTTAAATGAACAATATAAATTATTATTATTCATTTGGCCAATAAATTATTATTTGGTCAATATAACAATATAAATAATTCATTATATTTGTAATAGGAATTTATTATTGTCACGGAATGCCTGTAATGTTCACTAGGAGGCGAATAACGAAAAACCGGATAGATTTGAACCGCTACGATAAAACGATAAGGTTTGAAATAGTTAAGCTAATTTTTTAATATAATAATAGAAACCTTTCATGGCACGACTACAGTGGCTAGCCACTGTAGGCACGACCAAAGAAATACGCCACTGTGGAGGAACGTAAAGCTGCCGCTGCTTTAAACATGCCTCATAGGAATTTGTAATACTGCTAAAACGCCCAC